AAAGTCTTGATTGACTCAGTCTAACAAGCAGGAAGGTAGAGTTAACCCATTCCTTGGATTCTCTCTCAGCACACTGAAAAGGAGCACGTCAGTTAAGAACAACACCCCTTCTCAGTTTTTGTATCTCTACACTAAGATAATTTTGTATTTAACCTAAATATTGTATTTCAATTTTTCTCTCTAATTGGTTAGCAAACCTCTTTTTTATGACACATCTTTTTCAATAAAATAAAGATCATCCACAAATGCTAACAATTGAAAATCCCTACCTTGTAATTTTCTAGTATATATGCAACCATCAGCTTTGCAACTTTTGAACCCAAGATCCTTCAATGCAGTATCTAGACAAATATTCTAATTCCTGGCTGACTGCTTCAGCCCATGAATGGCCTTGTTCAATTTATATACAGTGTTAGGCTTTTCACTTTCATACCCTGGTGCTTGAACCATGTAAATTTCTTCCTTTAATTCCATATTGAGAAATGCTGTGGTTATATAAAAATGCCAAATTTGATGGTCACGTGCTGCTGCCAATGCCAGTGCCAACCTTATACTTTCACTCTTCACTGTTGGCGCGAATACCTTGTCATAGTGCACATTTTTCTTCTGTGAAAAACCTTGTGCCACTAATCTTGCCTTGTCTTGTACCTGGTTATTGGGTAGTACTTTCTTTTTGTACAACCACTTACATCCTACAGCTTTGCAATCCTGTGTCAAAGCCATAGATGTGAACACTTTATGTTCACCCATGGATTTCATTTCTTTGTCCATGCCTTCTTTCCACTTTACTTGTTCAATTGTGGGTAATGTCAATAGTTCCTTATAATTCCTTGGCTCATACTATACATTACACACTTTAACTTTACTTTACTAGCAGAATACCTGTCAGGTGGAATCTCCTTGTTCCATTGCTCTAACCCGCATGGCATTGACTTCTCTTGTATGTTGCTTCATATCTGATTCATTTTTTGACTCCTTTACCTGTGCTTTTTCAGTTTCTCCTCCCTGAACACTAACATTGTCACTAAGTGAGTTGCTGTCACTGTGGGTAACCATCACTAAGTGGATCATTCCATAAATTTGCATAAATTCTGTTCCAATTTTGCTCTGCAAAGCTAGCAGACCTGGAAATCACTATTCTTTTGCTTCCATTGCTAAAGCGATAGCTCTTTGAGCCAGGCTCATAGCCTGTTAACCTTAGGTTTCTAGCCTTTGGTTTTACCTTTCTTCTAAGTGCCTTTGGAATATGCTTCCAAACACCCTTAAATGTGCCAGAGATGGTTTTCTCCCATATAGCACTGCATACAGAGTATCATTAATGGATTAATTCCACAGCCTATTAATTAAATAATTAGCAGTCGACATGGCTTCACCCCAATATGATTTGCTCAGACCAGAATCCTCCAATAGTGAGTCCTTTATTGTTTGTAAGACACCGTTCCACTTCTCAGCTACACAATTCTTAGCTGCTGTGTACAGATTTGTGCATCTATGTTTTATTCCTAATTGTTCCAACAACTGTTGAAAATTTGCTGACATGAATTCTGAATCTCTGTCAGTCTGCAACTGACATACCTGTTGTTTATATCTCCTTTCTACAAAGCTTATCCATTGCTTAAATATCTGTAGCACCTCTACTTTACTCTTCAGTAAATAGAAAAACCAAAACCTGCCGTAATCATCTACCATGACTAGCACGTACTTTCTCCTCCCAAACTGACTTGTATTGGACCCACCAAATCTGCATGTACCAGCTCTACAGCTCTTATTGCCTTCTGCTAATTTTGCTAACTGGGAATGCCTTGAACTTTGATGATTACATGCTGCATAGTCCAAGTATGCCTTGGTTTATACCTTCTGCAAACTGTTGCATCTTTTGCAAAACTCTGAAGCTGGCGTGGCGAAGCTTTCTATGCAAGAGATGAACACAAGAATCATGTTGTGCCAAATTCCCAAATGTTTGTGCACATTAAACCTTTTGTCCCTGCAACACATAAAAATTATCCTGCTGTATGCCCTGTGCGCATACATTTACATTTCTCTTTATAAGACACTTTCGATTTATAAATATGGTCTCAAATCCATGCTTGTCTAAGCTAGAGACATTTAGTAAGCTATGCTTCATTTCAGGCATTTATTTGACTAGCCCCACTGTTTATTAACCATTTGTCCCTGCTATTACAATAGCAAACTTTCACAACATCAACCTTTCCATCTGTTGTCTGTTTTCTTTGCAAACAATCTTTCTTCAAATGAGTCTTATCACCACAGGTGAAACACCACTGTTCTGTTGCTTTCTTTGTAGAAAAACTTTGCTGTCATCCGATCTCTGCGGACATTTTGTCTGTTGTTTTTCTCTCTGCAGACATCTGTTGCGTTCTCTCTGTGTTCCTTGCCCCCCCCTCAGGAATTTCTCCTTGTGGCTTCTCCTAAAATGGCATTTGTTCTCCTCAGAAATTAAACAGGCTTTAATGGACTGCAAACACAACTATTGCTCTGGTTTGCACTCAGAAACAGCTGAAACAATGTCCCACATTTCATCAAGGCTGTTTAATACCAACAGCACCTTTTGAGATTCAGGAATCTGCATCCCACCCTGTTCCAGGTCAATGAATAAAGTCTGCATGTGCAACAAATGCTGCTCCACAGAATCATGTCACTGTAGCCTGGCTCTGTACAACTTTCTCGATAATTGCACAATATTGCACACTCACATGCATACTTTTCAATTTCAGCCAAATCTCATTTGCAGTCTTCAAGTCAGCCACATTCAAAAATTGTTCATCTTCTAAACTTAATATGATATAAGCCAGTGCCTTATCATGCTGCCTCTGGTCAGTGACTACTACCCTGTTTCCCCTAAAATAAGACCTCCCTATATAATAAGCCCAATCAGACTTTTGAGTGCATGCGCTAAAATAAATCCTCCCCTGAAAATAAGCCCTCCCCAAAAATATTGCAACATAGCAGCAGCCATGAGCTGACCAAGCTTTCCACCTCCTGCAGCTCAAAAATAATAAGACCTCCCCAAAAATAAGGCCAAGCACTTATTTCAGGCATGAAAAGAAAATAAGACCCTGTCTTATTTTAAGGAAATACAGTAATAGTGCCTGGGGTGAGTTAACAACAATATCCCAGACCTCCTTAGCTTTCAGGAAACTTTCCATCTTTGCAGTGGTGGGTTAAGGCTCACTGGTGCCCTAAACCCTGACCAATTTTGGTGCCCCCCCTCCTTTGTACATATTGTGCAAATCTTCATTGTTTTTTTTCTTTCTCAACTTTGTGGTGTCCTTTTGGGCCTGGTTCCCTAAGCACGTGCTTAGTCTGCTTAATGGTTAATACACCACTCCATCTTTGATATAATGATATAATTCTTCTGTTCCAAATGAGGCAGACAGCTCTCCTCAACAGCTATTCTGCAAGCTTTCTCAGCCTTGTTCTCTGTTCCTAATAACACAGGCTATCCTTCAGCTTAATTATAGTTCAATCTTACTGTGTGCTCTGGGCCCATAATCTATCAGAGTTTTGTTTCAGCAGCACATCCAGCAAGCACACACAAGTAAATAAACTTCAGAACAATTCAGTTATGTATAAGAAACTTCTTTGTATACAATACCATACAGCAGAATTCAGTATTCAATATCAGGAACACAGAAGCACTATTCATAGTAGCAAGTCATTATAAAGTAGAGAGATACAGAGGTTAATATTGTACAGAGGCCGCAAAGTTACAGAGGCCAAAGCAACTTTTATATACAATTCAGCAAATCTAAGCCATGCCCAGACTTCAAATTGTCTCTTATGGCCCCATACAAACAAATACTCTGTTTCAGTTTCCAAACAGTCCACATTGGCTGACCTGTTGCCATGTCTATCCAAACATTCCCCATTGGCCGACTTGTTGTCATGTCCATTCCAGTCTATGAACATACTCTGACAAGATGGACTTGCTCAAACTCAGAAGCTGGCAACAATGGATCTATGCCATCTTTTTGCACATATTTTAGGAAGTGTATCCTCAAAAATCTGCTCTGAGAAATTGAGCTAGCATTTAGCAAATGGTGTTATCTTTCTTTTTTTAAACGTTGTTTCTTTTTAAGTGCCCAGTTTATTTAACTAGATTTAGTACTTTTTAAAAACATTTTTTTATTTTGTATCATCAGATTTTTAACAAGCTTTTTAAAATGAAATTTCATTTTAAAATTTCCAAAATACATTGAATAAATCTTTATTATGTTTATTATGTACTTAAACAAAATCAAACCCACTTTCACTGATAGATTTTTAATGGAAAGTTGATAATCAGGAAGTCTTCATTTGTACCTTGCTTCTTAGTCTGGAAGAAGAAAATATTACTCTCTTCATTGGACAATAGAACTTCTAGACCAAAGCTGTAACTCAGAGTAAAAAAGATTGATCAGGAAGGAGAAGCTGGGCTATTTGACAACATATTCATATATAAGGATGTCCACAAATCATAGTAAATGGAACTTAATGCTACCAATCAATGCACATCCCTTTTTTTTTTTTGCCCCTTGGCAGGGTTTGAGGACTTTGTCTGGGTATAGTATATCAGATGAAAAAAGGCATTAATTTGAAGGCAAAGTGAATGCTGCTGTTAAATTTTAAAGAGGCTATAACAAGGCATTTTAATTATCTAGATCGGGGGTGTCAAACTTACATTGTCATGGCGGCATCACGTGATATATCAGGACTTTTTTCCCCTTCGCTAAACCGGGTGTACCTTACACCTGTAGCCCTCAACCATAACGCATCTGGCCTGTGGGCCATGAGTTTAACAGCCCTGATCTAGATTGACTAGAAGAATTGGTCAATAGCTTCACTGAGTTTTGAATAATCACGTGTGAGATGAATTTCTGCAATGCTTCCAACCTCTAATTTTGATCCCTCAAACTTTGAGAATCTTTGATTTTTGTACATAGAGTTTTTGTCCTTTGAAGTTTTGTCCTTTGAAGTAAATCTTCCTTTTTTTAATATAGGCCTCTGCATTATAGAATCTACATTTAAAGGCAAATCATCAGCAACTTTGATGTCTGCAAATTATCCATTGGGGTTACCAGAAGATGAACTCATGACATGGCAATTTGTTCTTCCATCCAGTTTAAGAGCAGATATCAACTTCATCAATTATACAAAACCAAACTGTGAACGGAAATATGTGCGGGTGGAATACTCATTACCTGATTATTCTCCAGATACTAGAGTCTTATCCCTAGATGATGTGCAACCTGTCAATATTCCTGGCAGTTTTAACCTTTCCCTGTATGGATGTGACCAAGATGACTCCTCAGGGCTCCTCAGACTCTTATTTAAAGTGATAGTAAATTACCCTAAAAATGAAGAGAGTAAGCAACCATTCTTCTCTCTCTTATGACCTTTTTCTTTGGTTAATGTGTTTGCATATTAACTAAATTTGAAGAAGCATTCCCCAACTAATGTCTTCTATCCATGTTGTCTTACAGTTCTTGTCAATGCCAGATATACATGCATTCAGATAAAGATTTTATGCAATTGAATACATAATACTTTAACTGCTATAGGAAATGATCTTTTTCCTTTCTTATCAAGACAAACAGATCACCCAAAATTAAGATGTTCAATCTTGGGTTTTTAGTATGTGGATAAAATGTTAAAATCAGTTACTCTTGCATGAATCTGTTGTTAAATCAGATTTCAGATTTTTTTAAAATCAGGCAATTTTATCTGCCTATTCATTTGCAAATCTTTTATTGCTTTAGAGTCTATCATAGTAAACCTGCATATTTAATCTATCCCTCAATAGATCTGACTAAAACCCAAGATAACAACAGTATCATTTTCTTGTAAGAATATGACAATTATTTTAAAAATTGATATTATCTATTTTTGTTTGTTTGTTTTTAGATGTAACCTACAAAATTGATCTAACACATGAGAAGACTAATCTTACAATTTATTCGAAATCATCAATGAATGAATGTTTGATCTGTGTTCACTCTAGCAGAAACTGCAGACCAAATGTGACATTAGAATATGGTGTCACATATTTTGCTACCTTCCTGTGTCAAAATTTGGATAATATAAGGATAATTGCTGAGCAAAGTATAGGTATGAGAAAAATATTTAGATTTTTGTTATATAAAAGATGTAAGCAGTTATCCCCTGAGAATGTATTTTGTTCTTGTTTACTTGAACTTCAGTAGTCAGGTAGAACTGAGCACCATCATATGCTATAGGAGAAACCAGATTGCCCTAAGATGCCTTGCCATTACATTTTTAAAATCTAATTCAATCTGAAAATTGCACTTGTGTTGAATTACCATCCTTGTCATCTTTACTCATGACTTGAAGGCTATAGATTATAAAAGCTGTACATGTAAGATATATTCATACCATACCAGATAGGGATAAAATGTAATTTACTGAGATGCGGTACATGCTAGAAACATAGTCTGTAGTAATGAATAATAATTTTTGGATGCAAGTTTAGCTGTATTTTTCAGCTTTCATCTCTATGTTACATTAATTGTAAGATTAGTCTTATACAGAATGTAAATACAAAATTGAGACTGATTATTGCCACAATATATCGAAAGTTCTGGTTTCTCTTGTCCTAAAATGGAAACAGTTATGTGAAAGGCATATTAGCAAATTCCATTCTACCCAATTCAGCTTTCAAATGCCTTATTTTGGTTTCCCTAATTTTAGAAAGGCAAGACTGTATCTGTTGTGATTCCTTATTTCTTAGAATAGTCTTTTTGGTCCTATCCATACAGTTGCTATTCTCTTTGACGATGGAGAAAACAAAAATCTCTTCCCCCCCCCCCCAAACTCCCACTCACTATTTCAGTGCAAATATTTTATATTTATAATAATACTGTTGAAAAGATGGTTGAGAAATTCTTTTATTAACACTGAAACGCAAGTTAAAAATGCCTTTAAGGTTTAAAAGCCAATAACATGGGAGGAATATCAGTGAGTTTTTTTTCTAAATGTCTTGTAATATCTTCTAATATCTCAGTTTGATATTTATTAATATGCAGTTTATTAAACATAATTGTGGGGATCTGAGGGTCACTATTGCCTCTGTAGGAGACAAATTAATAGCTCTGAAATTATTCCAAATTATTCCAAATACTGAAACATGGCAACATTGAGGATAAAACTCAACTCTCACATTTATAGGTTTTCTAAGAGCTACATGCTTCTAAAATCACTGGATTCATATCTCTCTCTCTCTCTCTCTCTCTCTCTCTCTCTCTCTCTCTCTCTCTCTCTCTCTCTCTCTCTCTCCCCCCTCCACCTCCCTCCCCCTGTCTCTCTTTCTCTCAGAACAGTAAATCTCCCTTATCACATCTGGGCAGTATACAGACAAAATATCAAACAATGAAAATAGAATATAAAATTTACAAATAAAAAATGCAAAGATGGATTAAACATTAATATTAAAAATTAATCAAAAGATGGGGAAGTTTTCAGAGTATTAGCCAGCCCCACAGCTTCATGTTTCTATATGAGCCTCAAGAAAGGCCACAGAGCCATGCTTTCACTCCTTTTCAGAAGGCCATGAAAGTGGGGGTGCTTCACTCTAGAGGGGGGAATGTTCCACATGTTGGGGACAGCAGCAGAGAAGGCTTTTTTTCCTTGGTCCCGCTAGTTGGAATTCTTTTACTGATAGTCTGCAGCATGTCTTCTTTGCCTGAATGGGTGGATTGAGCTGGACTGTTGTAATAGGATGGAGATGGTTCCATGGGTAACCTGGTTTCATGCCATGCAGGGCTATAAAGGTCATAACCAACATCTTGAATTGGACACAGAAACAAATCAGCAGCCAATGCAACTTGCGCATTAAAGTGGAATATGGGCCATTAGAGTGTTATATAATTAAGTAATCATGTATGCAATGGTTCACTTATCAGTGTAAATTAAGAGAGGGAATATTGAGAGTTAATTGGCAACTTAATGTGATTGTTGAACCAATGTAGTTGGATTGTTGACAGTAGTTTAATGTTAGCTTGTTGCAGTGAAAAATATAACTAGTGAATTAAAAGCTGAACATTAAAATATCTGGAGGATTAGGGTTAGCTTTGTAATATTAATATACAGATAATTACTCAAATACAGATCTCTCAAATACTAAGTTTTATTGATTTACAAGAAAACTTTCCTTGCAGAAAAAGATGCTTGCCATGTAGAAAAACAGTAATGGGAAAGATAGAAAATTGCCTGATTTTTTCTTTAGTTTTAGATTCAAATCTGCTGTGTTCTGTTGTTTTTTTTTAATACAGTTTGCTGGAATGCCAGAACATGTGAAAACCTATTCTTCCAGCTGGCTGTACCTTCTGTTCTTCTCCAGCTGCCAATTTTAATTGAGACATTTACATGGAAAATTCAAGCTCTTGAAGCAGTGAATATAGAAATCAGGTCCTCCACCTTGAAACTCAAGCAACATATCCCAAACCGGGATCAAAGGTGCAATGGAAGTTATAGTTATATTATTAATGGCTCCAGTCCAGGAAGGTCATGGAGTCTTGGTTATTTTTGTCCTGTTGGAGACATTGAAAAAATACAGATTAAGGATAACGTCACCTTAACCCTTAAGACATTTGGCAAGAGGTGGTTCAATGAGTCTAATACTCAGAAAGGGGATCTGAAACTGTTTTTTAAGCCAGTTCTACAAGGTGAGTGAGTTTTCTTTTACAGATAATCCTCGAGTTACAACAGTTCACTTAGCAACCGTTCAACATCATAACCCCCTCCCAAGTACTTATGACACAATCCCGAAGTTACGAATGTAGCAGCACCATGGCAGTCATTCACCCTTTATGAATGACCGCAGAGGCACTGCAACATTTATCTTGCCTATTCCCCCTCCTTTGGCCGGTCCTCTTCAAGCACAGGGCCTATGGAGACTCATCTTGCAAAGATCTAGTGGACTGTCTCCTCTTCAACCTTTCTACCACAGTTACTTTGCCTGCTTCCAGTGTTCCAAAAGAGGAGTGGTGAGAGCAAAGGGAGAATGGGACAAGCATGCCCTGTTCAGCTTGCAATCTCCCTCTAGACTCAAGTTATTTTTGCAAAAAGTCTTTGCTGCTGAAAATGGAGCCCAGGGTGGACATGCTGGCCCCTCCTGGGCTCCATTCTTGTTGGCAAAGGCTTTTTGCAAAGGCTTGCAGAAGCCTAGAGGGAGATTGTGTCCCTCTAGGCTCCGATTGTCTTTGCAAAAAACCCTTGCTGCTGAAAACAGAGCCTGAGAGGAATGCGCCTATCCTTCTTGCTGGCAAACACTTTTTGCAAATACTATCAGAGCCTAGAGGGATGCAATCTCCCCCTAGGCTTTGACAAGCCTTTTCAAAACTTTGCCAGCCAGAACAGACCCCAAGAGGGGCTGGTGCATCCCTCATGGGCTCCGTTTTCTGTGGGCAACAGCCTTTTGCAAAGACGATTGGAGCCTAATGGGAGATGCAAGCTGAGCAGGACAACGTGCATCCGCTCTCCCTCTGCTCTTGCCACTCTGCTTTTGGAGGACAGGAGTAGGCAACTCATGGCAGAGAGGAGGCAGTTTGCTAAATCTTCACAAGATGGAGGAAAGCAATTGTGGGCAGCATGAGGTATCTCAGTGGATCAGGGGAGTCCTTGGATAGCCAAGGATGTAGCAAGTTGCCTCCTCTATGCCATCAGTAGCCCTCCCCTCCCCCCCATGGAAGTTTGCACAGCTAGAAATTTTTGCTTTCCTTTCTCTAATCCCTCCCCCCCCCCCCATGGCCTTCCGCATCCTGAGATACCTCATGCAGTTAATGACTAACACATTAGATTATCGAATGTGTGGGCAAAAGCAGGGAGTTTTCATGTTTATGTGATTCACTCCAACAAATCCTTGGGTTACGATTGGCAAGAGACATTACATTGGCAACTCGAGGATTACCTACTTTTTTTTGCTTACATGCAATATATAAAGATGCTTGGATTTTATCATGCCTTTCTAAACTGAGAATCAAATGCAATGCTTTTTTCTATAATTTAGTGTTTTAAGATATGATAACTGGCTTCCAACACAATGTGGAATATTTAATTAGTACTTAGAATAACATACGATAAATGGAAGCCAGAGCAAATGTCATGTAGATGGGTAACAGTTCTAGGCTATGTTCAACTATCCTGTTGGGAGTGTAACATGTTAATGAAAGCTTAAGGAGCCATTAAAAAGCAGGATTCAAATGCAACCTTGCCTAAATACTTAAGGCCTAGCTAATTCATCTTTAATTCTAGCTTGCAGCATGTTTTATTATTGGTTTTTGGGGTAATGGTTTTTTCATTTCTGTATATATATTATTGTTCTCCTGGAGAGCTTGGAGCAGAGTATAGTATCTCTCTGCAAGAACCTACTGTTAGCCAGAGCAGTCTACCAATCTTCCAAAACATTCATTTCTTTAGTTCCCCAAATTCTCAGCTATGAATATCTTGGAAGATTTCTCATTTATTAAGTGGAAATTAAATTTAAACTATAAACTAAAGGAAAAACAGGTATGTTATCCAACAACTTTAACACAATAGGTACCAATTCAAAGAGCATTTTGGTATATTACAACTACCCAATAATGTTTCAACAGGTGTGTGTGTGTGTGTGTATATATATATATATACATATATATATATATATGTATGTATGTATGTATGTATGTATGTATG